TCGGGTTGGTGTTGGTGTGGTGAGTAGTGTGTGGGGGGAGAGAATGAAAAGAGAGAAGCTATGCCAGAGCACCAGTTCTCAGCACCCTTCATCGCTGTCCAATTACCTATGGCTGAAACTGATAACCTCTGGTTGAAACTGATAACTAGGGTTGTTCTCGCATGGTGTGGTCAAGTAAATATTGCAATCTATCTTGACCAAAAAGGGGGATAGCTAAGATATCATATTTTCGTGTATCATGCCAACTGAACTGGAGTTGACTGCACAAAATGACCTATATCAAGAACTTGTTGCAACATCTGCTTCTGCAACAATCTAAGGACTTCTTTCGTACCGAGCCTGTCCGGTTAGGTCTGCACCACTCTGATATGCTCCAGCTTGTGTTGCAACTTGAGGGCAAGATGGGTCGTTTGGATTATTGCAAATCCCTAGTTTGACGAGGAAGGTAACTGTGCTACCTTTGTCAAGGCCCTCACTCTCAATCCAAATATGACCACCCATCAGATTCACAAACCTGATTCAAAACATTTCAATAGATTGAATTAATCTGACTTGTGGCTGAATTTGGTTTTAGACAATCAACATTCTATCAGAGTATGACTATATATGGCATGGCTGCATTGGCACAAGACTCTTATTTGGCTAACTATTTATTATTATTGAACTAGTAGAATTAAAGGATTTCTAACTTTCTGCAAAGAGCAAATTGATGCTAAATCTATAGTTTTACCTTTTACAAATGGCAAGTCCAAGTCCAGCACCTTCGTTATTTCTACTAGACCCAGATTGAGGCTGTGTGAATCTGGTAAAGAGACCTGGAACATCTTGTGGGAGAATGCCACAACCAGAATCCTTAACCTGCCAGAACATGGATGATAAGACCAATGTCAAAACAGGACAAGCATGATGTGATCAAGTAGGTCCTAACAATAAGCAAGAACAATACGGGGAGTAATGGTTAATCTATTTGCCATGGCCAAAGACCTAGGCATAGATACTTTGAAGGAATCTAAATATGCTATATGACTTCAATGGTCAAGGAAAGTAAAGATCAGATGCCTAGGAGCTGGAAACTTACACATTCCAAGATTGTAAAATCAAGTGAAAACTAAATCAAAGGGACATCCGAGGTGAGTCTAGTAATCAAGGAAAACAGATGCCTTGAGCAGTTGAACCTCAAAGTTCATTAGCTCGAAGACTGTTAAGTAAACTATACAAAGGAAACTGCAAGTTAAATGCAGTGGACAATAACCTGCACTCTTAAATAGAAGTGGCCTTCATTTGAAACTGGGTAAAATTCAGGAGGTCGCCAATCCCTTAAAGATTCTGGTTCTGCAACAGAAGCAATGATTGAAACATTACCCTCCTTAGTGAACTTCACAGCATTACCCGCAATATTTAGAAGTATTTGCACAAGCCGTTTCTCATCACCAACAGCATGCACAGGCAAATCTGGTGCCAGGAGCAAATTTATAAATAGCTTCTTTACTGAAGAAATGGGCTTTATGAGAATAATGACCTAAAATATTGAAATAAAAATAAAATGTTAGGACAAGGATGCTGGTGTCACAGCCAAATCACTTTCAATTCTTCTATAGATAATCAAGCACAGAATAATGTCTACCTCTTTGAAAACCCCATGAATATTGAATATCCCACTGTCTAATTCTAGGTTGCCATCTTCAAGTCTAGAAAGATCAAGAACATCATTAATAAGGGTTGAGAAATGGTTGCTACTCTTTAGTACCGTCTCAATCATAACCCTCTGTTCTGGAGTAAGTTCAGTCTCCAGAAGAAGTGAACAAAGTGCTATAAGCGTATGCATTGGGATTCTCATTTCATGGTTCATCACAGCAAGAAAATCATTGCGTGAGTGAATTGCCATCTCTGCCTCTCGTTGAGCCAAGTTCAGTGCAATGTTTTGCTCCTTGAGCTGATTATGGGCTTGCATAGATTCTTCTAGAATAGCAGCATGTGAAAGTGCAACAGCCACCTACATCCAAAAAAAGAAGGAATGAACTCTGCGTCAAAGAGCATGGAGAATGGTTCTCCAATTTTCTATTACAATACGTAGAAAATAATAAAGCAAAAGAAAATTTGAGAAGAATGAAGGTACATCTAGCTATCATAAGGTAGCTCAACAGTCGTATACCTAAAGATACCATTCAATTACAACATTAATGTCCATGAGTTGTATCCAACTAAGCTCATTAAAGAATGAATCAATAAAGTCAAGATGGATTCCTGATGTACAAATCTATGCCTTGAAGGAAATTGAGCAAGGCACAAGAATGCTCAGTGTTCATAGAAGCCTGTCTGTAATACTAAGAACATGATCTTCTTCCAGAATTAGAATCAAAGAAAGCTAATTGTTCATTTTTAGCAATAAAGAATATGCTATTTTTGATGTGCAGCAAGGACATATAAAAGAAGCTAATGAAAGGAAGCACATAAATCATAGGAATACCTGGTCTGAAACAACATCAACAAGTTCCAACTCATGGTCTCGCCATTTTCTGGCACTGTCTGTAGGGAGAATCAGAATCATGATTGCATAGCTTTTTGCAGAAAGATCAGGCCAGTTAGTAATATGGAAACTGGAAACATGTAAAAGAGGCACCCGGACAGCAACAACCTCAGGTGCCACATATGTTCCCACTAGAGGCCTAATCCTAGCCAGAGGGCATGTATAAGGTATACACGCTGCTTGAGCACTAGCAAAGATTTCATTGACTATAGGAAGATTTATTGGCACAGTAGTTCCAACTTGCATTTTGTAGTTCAGAGTATGAGAAAGTTGCAAATTCATGCCAGTACGTGATGGCATCCACAGTGCACATTCCTCCAGGCCCAAGGTCCTACCCAATTCAACAAAAGTGGTTTTCAAGATAGTATGGCGGTTCAGTGTGCTTCTGATTTCATGGGTCAACACCCTAACATGCCTACCGGTTTCTTCCTGTGTAAGAATGAGTCCCATTTCCCTGTCAAGCTCTTCAGCCTTGTTCTTGAGAAATAATTCCCGAGTTTTAACACCCAACAGATCAGGAATAATGTGTACAAGCATCAAAGCTGTAGCACACGATACAACAGCACAAGAAACCTTAGCAACAGTCATCACTATGGCAATTGCTCTGGTGTGCATGTAAAGAGTCCACAGGTTAATGAAGTGAGTTGCCCCACAAAGAACAATAAAAGCACCAAATTGTATCAGAACCCATCGAAAGGGGAAGAAAGCAGGTTTCTGAACAAAATAAATTAGTTCAAGTGGAATGGAGAAGTATGCTGCAGCAATTAAGACATCCGAGATGTATTGATATTTCCCCAGAAATTCATCTTGTGACCATTGTGTTTCAATGCAATCACAGGACTCCATTAGGTACGTAGGAACTGCCTCAACAAATCTGGAAATAATGCACAAAAGATAAAACAATAGATTGATGCTACCATTGCAGCATATGAAACAAAAACGAATTATTCTTTGCATAACTGTACAATTGTCCTAGAAAAAAGTACCTCAACAAGAACATGCGTTGCTTATAACAGATTTGTCTGAATTTATAACTCAGATTCAACATGAATGCAACTCCAAGAATTATAATCAACAAATATATTCCATTACCAGCAATTGCAGAGATGTAACCCATAAAATTCTTTCCTAGAAAAAGAATATGGTTTTATTCTACAACCAAGAACATGAAGACTTCAAAAAACAGGTGATGCCATTTTGCAGCAAACAACAACAAAAATCTTTAATGAACATTCAACTATTTAACACATTATCAAGCATGTAAGTAATCCTAAGGTAATTCAACAAAGGAACGTTTTTCATTACCAATCCAAAAAAGGGTCGTGACCACCAGCAGCAGCAGCTGTGGGAAGTGGCAGAGTTGAATTTGTAAGGTTTGAGACAGAATGAGGTAAGAGAAAGGTTTTTGTAATTTGTGTAATGTGGGTGTACGAAGGGTGGGGGAAGGCGTCACGAGAAAGACGGCGAGCAGATATGAAAAGGAAAGAAAAAGGTACCAGGGACTGTCAATGCCTTCAGTCTTTGGACAAGCTGCATGCACCTGCCATTATCTGTACTCTGTAGGATAAGGATAGTGGAATTAGTGGGAGGGACCTACACATTTACCTGATTGGGTCAAAACAAATTTTATATGACATGAGGTATGCATCATGCGGTTCTCCCCACACTTTTTTGCCTCCAACTACTATTATTAGAATAATTGAGTTGTAAAAATAAAATCCACGTGAAAAACAGAGTCTCTGTAAATAATTTTAGTTTAAGAGAAAGAAAATTTTAAGTATATGAAGATGTTACCATAACCATGTAACCAGTAAGTTTAGACCAAATTGAAATATTGTGCTTGAATCTTTTTGGGTCTCTTGATTTTTTCTATGTACATTAGCCATTATAGACATTGGTATAAATAAATTAGATGCAGATGTTATACTGAGATGAAGAATCCATCTGCAATCCCACAACCTTCAACTTTGTTGGCGAAGATTATACTAATTTTAGAAGTCTCTAATTAGCAATTTTGGAAAGTTTTGGATGAATTCCTGGGATGATCAGACCCCCTAGCCATCCCATGAACTACTTCAAAAGCAAGCCAGTAGAGTTCCATTAGCTTAGGGAGATGACTGAGTGAAGAGTGGAGAAGACAGAAAAGTTGATTTTTTTATTTTTTTTTATTTTTTTGTATTTTGCATTTATGGATATCTTTTTTTTTTTTTAACATGTAATATAAGGACAAGGAAACTAAAATCTCAACCAACGAAACACATCGTGGAAAGTTTTTTTTTATTCTTTCTCAATTCCCACATCCTCACCCGATCAGGGCATCACAGCCACAAAGAATGAAAAGCACTAATGTACAAGCCAAGAACATGCGCATGTGGCTCCATGGAATGCAAGAAAATATGAGTTTGGACCACAACCGCATTTCAACATGAACAAATACAATGCATTTGAACTGGAGTAAGCACGTCGCTATCGATTACTGTATTATTGATAATCATACGGATTCACTTCACCAAAGAATGAAATAATTACAAAATTTCAGGTGTAAACATGGAATTCCAAAATTTATAATTTAAGAATGTCCCAGAAAGAACGCTTAAGTAGCAGAAAACAGCCATAAGACTCCAAGAATTAAGGAGCCTGTGGAAAAGATATATGCACATGGCCACATACTCCACATACCAGCTAACTTTTTATCGTTGTCAAGTAAGAACATGATGGGTTTATGAGATTACCTGAATAATTACTTGCAACTTGCAAAGACATTCTAGTCCATGGGTCTTTTGTAATTTGTGATGGAGCTCAGACAGAGATTAGGCTCTTTTAAGAACGGGCAGCAGGCAACCAAGAATATGCAGCGCATTTTCAACCTTGCTTTAAAACCAACAACTTATTTTTTCCTTTTTTCTCTCTTTACCCTCTTGGGGAATCGTTCATGGGGCTCTAGGAGGACTTCATTGAGCATCTGTGACCAAAGCACTTCAAATTGCTTGTGGAAGCCTTCTCGAAACCAGTCCAGTATTTCTGAATGCAATTCCCTGGGGTTTGCCTCCCATGTCTCTCTCAAAACAGCACAAGAGACAATTGAATTAGTCTTTAACTTGTAAAGAAGATTTCCAACTCGTCTTTGACCATATGATTCTGGCTTCAAAATGATATAGGGAGAGGCTGACATGAACTTTCTGACAGATCTTAAGCATGGCAATACTTGCCCTTCAAGTAATGCAAATGCAAATGCTACCACACGATGTTCATTACCACTAATTGGCAAACTATGCAATGGCAGTTCCCACAAATGAGGCCCAAAAGATGGAGTGACATGAGAATACACCTGGTCTGTTTTAGGGTCATAATAGGGTTTATGATCTGTAAGGGGTGCAGAAAAACTGCACAAAGAGCCAGCAAATTTAACAAGCCATTTTGATTTCACACTTGTTGCCCCATGCATGTATGGCCGTTTTGTCTGCAATAGTTCACTGTACACCAAAAACTCAGGAGCTGACTTGGCAAGAGATGACCAACGATGGAGAAATACAGATTCTTTAACCAAGCATGCTTGATATCTAAGTGCAATGACCTTTCCATCTCCTTCGGATGACCCTGAAACTCTAATGCGTTTTGCAACCCTATCAGCCCAGCCAGCACAGATAGCTTGCCCTAACAGCTCCTCCTCATCCAATGAAAGGCGGTTTTCACTAGATAAGTCCCTCCAGCAGTTTTCAACATCAACCATAGTTCCATGAGTCCATGAGAAATCCTGCTCTCTATCACCACTAGCATTTTGATTAAAAACCAGCTGAAGAAGCTGCTTCCTTAGCTTTGACATCTCTTCCATGGTTTTAAAATGCAATGCATTTTCATTACAGAATTCCACCTGGCTTTTAGAAAGTTCAAAACTCTGCAATGCGCAGGCAACTGTTAAAGCATCACTGCTAGGGTTAGAAAATTTCGCACGGGATGCCTTGGCAACTTCTTTTAGTTTCTTTTTCTTCCATTTCTCTTGTTTCTGCATCATTTTCTCATTATCTAGGGCTTCAGATCCATTGCTCTGCTTTGAGTCATTGGCATTTGTATGGCTTCCTTCATACTGCATGACAAAAGGATTTGACAAGCTCAAAGCTGCAGCTGCAGCAACTGCGTATCCAAAGACTAGATTTGGCTGAGCATAACTTTCCACCTTAGCAATTTGAATAACAGTAAGGAGCATCCTTGAGTGTCTGGGACTCATGGGGTAATGAGCCATGGCTTTTCCCAAAGATGTCAATCTTCCATCACCATCAAGTGCTTCAAGAGCCTTCAGGCAACGCTCTGCTTCAACCAGAGCAGTAGCCTCAGGAGCAGTTGGGAATGGGAAATTTCCTACCTGTAAAAACACATTGAGGATGATGTTAAAAAGTGATCATTCTGACATTTGAATACAAATTAAATATAAAACAACTAAACAACAGTAAATGCTGCATTTAAACTATAGGAACCACATGAAAAGGAAGGACGTATCAGTTCAACTAGCATGCTCATGAGCAAAACAAATTTTGATACAGCCTTCTAGTCAAATATAAAAATGTTTTGAATAATAAAACCAAACTAGGCATGATGCTACACCAGGGGGTTAATATCAGAATATCAAATGCTAGAACATTCACTATGGAGCCTATTAACATAACTTGGTAAACGAAAACATATCGGTCTAGAATAAACTTAGATCACAGATGGGTGCTTTTTTCTGAAAAAAAAAAAAAAAAGAGACGTTATGACAGATTGAATTTTTGCAAAGGAGAACAAAAAAGTATGTGCCAAAGATCAAACAGAATCAAGTTGAAACAGAAGTTACAAGGCCATCTCATTTATGTAATATAGAGACATCAGTTTGACACAAGCCTTTTAGAAAGACGTTAAAATCAAATAATATAATACACAAAAAACCTACCTTTTCAATACCCATGGATTTCATGAGAAGAACAACACCATCAACAGGTATTTTACATATTTCAGCACAAGAAAAATCAGGGAGTATGTTACTAAAGACTGCAGCAGAATACAGACGATAGCAATGGCCAGGTCCAGTTCTTCCAGCCCTTCCTGCACGTTGAGCAGCAGATGCTTTACTTATCCACTGCACCTCATAAGTCTCCATACCATTGGTAGGGTTGTAGTTCTTCACCTTTTCTCTTCCAGTATCAACCACATACTTTACTCCAGGAATGGTTAAGGAGGTTTCGGCAACATTGGTGGCAATAACAACAAGTCGCTCTCCCTCTTTAACCTCCTCAAATACACGAAGCTGTGCTGCTGCAGGCAGCATTGCATATAGAGGCAGAACATGTAGTGTGCCTAGATTAATACTTTTATCAGCTTCCCTCTTCTTCTCAATACAGGAATTGGATTGCTCAGACCCATCATCCACGCTATTAGTCACAGCCTCTTTTCCTTCAGAATTAGATTTTCGAACATCTTTTCCGGCCAGAGCTTCAAAAGCAGACTTAAGGGAAGCAAGACTCCCATCATCCCCTAACACATCAACAAGACTATCACCATTTCCCATGGTCTTCTGGTTCAATGTGCAATCATCCTCAACATCAATTTCTAGGTCACTCTCTGTCTCTGAATCATACAGAGTATCTGACACATTCTCATCAAGATCATACTGATCTTCCTCATAAGAGCTAAACCTGTCAGTCTGCTGGTCAGTTGAGTTTGCGGAGATTTCAAATGCTTCGTTAATATCCTTCATATCAATGTCCCCAACTGAGCTCTTTTCTGAGGGAGCAGCTGCTTCAGTCCCTACATCTCTTTTAAAAGTATTAGCAATCAGCTCTCTGGAAGCCTTGTGCAACTTACTGCATAAATACTCTACTTCTCTCTGTCCAGTGACAAAGACAAGTATGCCACCAGGTGGCAGCCTCTTATGAATTGCCATGACCTTTTTGAAGGCCTGACCTATATAATCCACAATCTCTGTTCTCTTTGAGAAATGTATAGTTACTGGAAATTGTCTTGTAGGAACTTCTATAACAGGAGGAGGATTATGAAACAATCTTCTACCAGAGATGAAGTCTTCCACTCTCAACGTAGCACTCATCAGAACAAGTTTTAATGGAAATATCCTACTTTCAGGATTTACAGTTTTTCCTGAAAGCATCATGCGCTGTTGCTTCTCATATAAATCCTGTCATCAAACAATATCATACTGTTAGAATAGAGGAGAATAGAATTCTACAACCTGATTACCCATGAAAAGTGGGGGCCTTTAAGTTTCACCTGACGAAGTCGAATTACACGGGAAAGCATCCCAATTAGTATGTCTGTGTTCAAGCTCCTTTCATGAGCTTCATCCAAAACTATGACAGAATAACGCTTCAATGAAAAATCATTCTGCCACATAAAATATGATAAAAATGGTCACCTGACATACATCTCCCAAGTAATCACAAGATGTTATGTATGTATGAAGTAGTGCAAAAGTTTAAGTCCAGATATGATACGGAAAGCCTAAATCTGTCGTATAATGTATCGCTAATAATACATCCATAGAATAATGCCAGGACGTGGGAATACTAAGAATAAAAATTACCCTTTCTCATCATAGAAGTGCAGAGAACTAGGCAACAAAAATATACCAGATGGAATCAACAGGCAAGTAAGCCATCTCCTAAGGGTCCCATTAAATTATCAGCTATCACAAATACCAAATGCAAAAAGTACCAAGGTTTTGAATTTTATAGGCTAAGCAAATTATGTTACAAATTTAATGGGCAGCTCAAACCCCATGACAGAAAATAGAAAGCAGGCATATGATATGAAAATACTTCTAATAAACAAAACAGCTACCTTAGAGTAATATAATATTGATGACTCATTATCTTAATTCTTTCCTAGATTGAAGGCTTATTGTGGGATACATTACAGTAATTTCTCTAATAGTTCTTATGACAGCATAGACTACAGAGACTAGGATTTTAGGTTTTAAAGTTGAAACCAGTCATTCACAATATCCTCTATAGGGAAATCTGGAATTGAGAACAAGCAAAACCTGAACTTCTCGTAGTAGAATTCCATCTGTCATAAATTTGATGGAACAGCTGTCTCCAATTTTCTTGTCATGCCTAACTTGAAAGCCAACTTCTTTACCTAAACGGAGACCAAGTTCAAATGCCATTCTCTTGGCAGTGGCAAGGACAGCAACACGACGAGGTTGAGTAACACCAATGATACCACTTCGAACACTAGATTCATTTGAACCAAAGCCAGCTTCATATAGAAACTGCAACATTAGAATAAAGGGGTCATAAATTACAATTCCTGACACAAAAATTTAAGTTATAAACAAAAATGTTAAATTTTCAAACAAGCATACTTGAGGAACTTGTGTGGTTTTACCACATCCAGTCTCTCCACAAACAATAACGGTGGGATTCTCATTTATGGCTTCCATTATCTCCTGCTCCATCATAACAATTGGGAGATCCTTCCTTTTGTTTTCTACTTCATCTGGTCTTGACACATGCACTACAGTTGGGGTAGTAATAACTCTCTGCAAAGGACAGTTTTGTACATCTTTATTCCAGGTAAAATCATTTGGAATCTCATTTGCTTTACCCTGTCACATATGAAACCACTAGTCAGGAATTAGCCATTGGCAATAAAATAACCCAGCTCAAGACCAGTAAATTTAATCAGGGTTCTTTTTTCTTTACTACACAGATAACAAAAACATAGTTTGTACTACTCAAATAGAAGAATAAGAAAAAGGTATAGCTGCTTCTTTCTTATGCATATTATTTAAAGGTATGCAGAAACTATCAAATGATATTAACATTTAATTTAAACATCTAGATAAAGAGAATTATGTGTGGAAAATTAATGTTTAAAAGTTATATTTATTGGATAATTTCTATTTCTTTCCACTAAAATAAGCTGTTTCTAACTAAATCATTAACATAACATCAAAAAAATAGGTGAAACAAAGCTCCATAAATAAAACGATATAAGATATTAAATCCAAAGAGTAAAATACCTTAAATCAGAAATTTAAACAGAAACAATATTATTCACAATTTATATTAGCTTCTTTTGATCAAATCAATGTTTCAAGTCTAAAATGTCAGACTTACCATTGGGCTACTGTCTTCATCAAGCAATGCATTCTTTCCCTCATTGGGAACTATTTCAGCTGGCATGGCATCTACTGATCCACCTGGCTCATCAGAAGATCCCATAGAATCAGATGCATTATTTACAACTTCTCTTTCTAGTATCATTGGTTCCACAAGGTAATTTTTGTTCATATTGCCCCTCAAGTTGATTTCATCTAACTCTGCTTCAGTTTCAGGCAAAGAATCACCATCATTCCTTTCCTTTGAAGATCTATCATAGTGTGGAACTTGGAGACCTGCCTTGGAAAACTGAACTGCTCTCCTACGCTTTTCCAGCATTGTCTCAGCCTACATTAAGGCATGTTGATGGAGCAAATTAAGAGTGAAGATAACTACTTTATTTTACTTTTAAAAGCAGTATGGATTCAAGGATACAAACCCGACCGATACTTTTTGAAGATCGCAACAGAGAATATGCATCCTCTGGAATCTTGTATTTCCTGAAAATGTAAAAATATTCAAGTAAATATCAAATGTTTTACATGTTTTATTAATATAAGAAATAGGTAGGATAAGTTATTCAGGAAAAAGATTATGAAAATAAAAAGTAGCATACTCCAAGGTCTCAATGCTTTTTGATAGCAAAAGTTCCTTTTCCTTTTCCTCCTGCACCAAATGATTCAAAATTATCTCAAATAGCACAAATATGAATCAAAGCAAGCTCAATATAACCCAAAAGTGTGTACCTCCAACTTCTTCAACTTTCGTTTCTGAGATTTGCTCAACTTCGGCTTTTGGTCTAATTGGACTTTTTCAAGACGCTGTATAGGGAAAAAAAAAAAAAAAAATTGGGCAAACCAACTTTCATTTGTTAAAACCAAAATACAACTTTATCGCTTTACATGATAAACAAGGTACATTTTACCTGATCTTTCCCCTTTACTTTCTTGCTTCTCTTTGCTGGCAAGATCGCAGCATTGCTATCACAACCTTCCAAACTACAAAATTCATGCAAGGAAGAGCAAGGTTAACTAAAAACCTACCAGTACTGAGGCATTATAGAAAAAGGATTTAGCTTTCAACTATTTAAACCAAAATTCACAACTCTATTACTTAAATTTCAGGTTTCTTATAATATAGTAAGAAAATATAAGCTATAATTTTTTGGGCATTCCTAAATATAAGCTGCTTGGGCCAAAAAAGCTGACTTCTATTTCCTTTAATTTCTTAGCAACCAAACAGAGTACGGGAAGAGCTAAGCATGTAAGTTACCTGGACGACCCTAGTGCAGTCTTCAACTCTACCGGCTGTCTGTAATCTTCTATTGTAATCTCCATTCTGCTTTCCAAAATTCAGCAAAAGTGTAGCTCAAATCTAAGGAAAGACGACCTCAATTTTTACTAACTTGATTTCACAGTAAACTCTTGGCTCCCGTTGCGTTTGAGTAAGGAGAAAGACCGAGTAGACGACTACGGACGGAGCCTTCTTCTTGCTTCGTGCCAAATTTGATGATAAATAACGCGGAGAGATGGAAGACTACCCTAATTGGATCCAATTAAGCGCTTACAGGGAAAGGAGATTAGAGATGCTGCGCCGGCTGTTAGGGTTTAAGGTTTAGGGTTTAGGGTTTAGGAAGGAGGAGAATAGTTGTGAGAACTATGGAATCCGGATGCAGCAGGAAGAAGAAGAAGAAGAAAGGTGAGTACCCAAATCAATCCTTGAACTTTCTTGTGATGGACAATTGAGCCCAATAACTTAAGTGGGTCCAATTAAGCCCTTAAGATGGGTATGGACCAGCATCTTAGTTTTTCTTTCTCGGCCACATCTGTGAAGCTAGCTGCAACAACATAAGAACATAAAGGAATACATGCATTGAATGAGCCCAACACCACATCAAGATCTTAGGCAGGCCTCTCTTTTTTATTTTTTAAACAAGATATCATGAGAGTTTGAATCCAACTTCAAAGGAAGGCTAAAACAGCACCTTAACAAGATGGTAAAAGCCATTTAGCTCAACTGGTCAATTGCTTTAGGCGGGCCTATTTAGTTAACTCTATAGCTTGAAATAAATATTTGGTGCAAAAGGTCATCAGAAGGAGCAATTTGCTATATTTTGGGACACCATGTGTGTGGTAATGTTGGTAAATCACAGCATGTCACATTATTATTTATTTATTTGTATATCATTGGCCACATCAGTAATTGTTTTTTTATCTCACAAGTATTCATTAATGAGGTGAAAAAAATTACTGACGTAACATGTTATGATTATTTGAGAATACTGTTAATATAGTATCTTCAGGATACAACAGACTTTCTCTATTAGAAACTAGCAATATGCAAGCATGGATCAATTGTATAAATTAGGGATTTACGTAATCTGGATCAATTGTATAAATTAGGGATTTACGTAATCTTGAGAATAGATGACCTAAAAAAATGAAATAAAATTTGTTAGAAAAATGCTATTAAAAATTCTACCATTAATGAAATTCCCTTTTTTTTTTCCTACAAAATTCTTCTACTAAGAAAGAGAAGTAGTCACTAGTCACTTATTTTCTTTGAGCATTAATTTTTTATGGTCATTAAATATTATTATCAAGTCTTATAGTTAATTTATATAAAAATATTTATTTATAACAATAAATTTAAAATAATATACGATATAATCTAACATCTAATACATACTATCTAATAATTACGTATACAAATATAATATTGACAACTTTGCATGTAACAAGTTGTCGGCTACGTGTGAATTAATGCAGTCAATTAAATAGGGGTTTAGTCTACCAAACTTCATATTTTCTCTGGAAACTTTTTTTTTCCAAAATTTTTGGTCGGGAGCAGAGAAGAGAAGAACCTAAAATTAGCCGACGCCAGGAATCTCAGTAAAGTTTTGTTGGCCTTAGCGGCTACCAAACACAGCCTTAAAGTTAGTAGATACCATCACTATATTAATTTGATTAAAGTGACTCTTGTTATCGTGCTTGTGACGATTTTTTTCATCTATAGCTAAACGTATATGGGTGATCCGTTAGAACTACTTTCAAATATTTTAATTAATAAAGTAGTATCATTTTATATTAAAAATTTTAATCTTAAAATGCGTAAAGATTAAAAAAATAAAAATTATTTTTTATTATATAATTCATCATTTAATATGCAAAATAATTATAAATCTTACACACATGTATTGGATTACAATTCCATAGCGGACAAAATGAAATCAATTGGTAGGCAAAATGTTCATGTCAAAGGAGCTGCCAAATTCTTGCGTGCGCACTGTGGAGGTATGTTGGACTAGCGTAATATAGCTAGTGTTTTGATTTTGACTCCTGTATCATGTGTGGATGAAGAGGGGTTCATGGAACCCATCCCTAATCTATTACTGTTAGAATTATGGAACTCATTCGAAACAATAATTATCATCAAGAGCAGCTAAGTGTGTACATATCTTCAACATTAATAGCTGGAGCCCATGCAATTTGTTCTGTATCAAAGTTGTTTAATGTATAAATTGAATGGCGAACAAACCGTTAAACACTTTCAGATTTTAGACCACAAAAAGCAGAGTACAGTGAGGCACGGTATGTCAACAAGGGGTTGGCAGCCTAAATGGCCTTACCATGAATAAAGCTTTTTTATAAATAAAGTGTTGTAGAATTGAATTATAAAATATAAATTATTAAATAAAATAAATTTTTATTTGTGTTTTGTAGTTTAATATTGTTTAATTTGCAAAACACTAGAATGTTATTACTCTTAATCTCTTATACTCTAACCCATTACAAAGCCATAAAAGATAATTGGACCAAAGTCATTCTCAGTCCACCCTTGCATGCCCAAGGAAAATTTTGTAAACTCCGACTTTGCAATTTCCACGGTAGCAGTCAGCAGAGTTCATGTTCAGGCTTATCCATTAAAGCATAATACTCTGATTTCTGTTGAGGAACAATTCAGTTCTATTAAAAGTGAAATTCAAGTACCAAGGTGTATCTTTCTTTAGAATGAAAGATCTGAAGTTTAAACCAAATAAAGTCCATTTGCTGGGTTGGGAAATGTCTTAATCAACTATTACATCACATAATTTGGCAAATAAAATGAATCTGCCTGTCATACTTTGATTTATGTGCCACGAAGTTGGGATGAGATTGGGAGACCCCTCATGGCAATAATGCACTAGTCCTACTAATCATAATTGCCAAGATGATGTTTATCCACAAGCATCTATAAATAAGATCATCTTTAAGCATGAAGCTCATCCTTCTTTAAGAACTGAAACATAAGTTCAATCTTAAACTTGAGAATGTTTTTGAGGTTTTTGCTTTTCACTCTTACCATTTCTGTCACCCTGGTCGCCCTCGGGCAGTGCCAGAGGCAGAACCAAAACCAGCCTTCTGCTTTTGAGTCCACAGTGAAATACCATGGGGGTCCTATCTTAACTAGCCCGAAGGGCATTAACATTTACCTCATATGGTATGGAGGTTTATCAAGTAAAGATAGAAACTCCATTACTGATTTCTTTGCTTCTTTCACTACCCGTCAGGAACTCAGTGTCTTGACCTGGTGGAGAACCATGAGTTCTTACAAGGACAGGGCTGGGAAACCAGTTTCTGGCACTTTCAGACTCATTAAGCAAGTTGGGGATATATATTCCTTGGGGAAGAGCCTCATGCGTGCCCAAATAGCAGAGTTGGTCAAAAGCAAGATAGAAAGCAAGATATTTCCATTAGACTCTAATGGGATATACTTCGTTTTGACTGCTAAAGATGTCACCGTGGAGAAGTTTTGCATGGGGTCTTGCGGCTTCCATGATAGCATGATGGCGGGTGGAAAGGCTAGAGTTGCATATGCCCACGTAGGCAACCCGGTGGCACAGTGTCCTGGTCTTTGTGCATGGCCTTATGCGTTGCCAGCATATGGTCCGCCTGGCCAGGCAGCCCTTGTGGCACCCAACGGTGTTGGAGCTGATGGGATGATTATAAACATTGCCACAATTCTGGCAGGTACTGCCAGTAACCCGTTTAAGAATGGGTACTTCCAGGGAGATGCCCTGGCTCCACTGGAGGCTGCCACGGCTTGTTCGGGGGCATTTGGCCCTGGAGCTTATCCAGGGTATCCTGGGACTTTGATGGTGGATAAAATGAGCAGAGCTAGTTATAATGCTTACGGAGTTAACGGCAGAAAATTTCTCCTTCCAGCCATATGGGACCTGATTAGCTCCAACTGCGAGGTTCTTACTTGATTATTAGCTATAGAGATTGGCGAGTGATAGCTATAGATTTACGAAGGAATTACCGAATCTAAGTTATGTAAATTCCTATACTGAACTAGTTAAGACTAAGAAGTCTTACACGTGTGAAAGTAGATCCTCATATATATATTATTTGTGCAAGAAGGAAATATACATATTGTAATCTACCAATAGAAGAAAAATGAACAAATAAATCGTTTGCATTTTGTATATCTGGTTGAATATTATTTCCATGCTGGGAAGCCTAAGCACATGGTCAAATCTAACAGTAACAGATAGCCTAGCTAAAAGCATGTGAAAACATATAAACAGAAATAAACATAAACTGAGACTTTATTCAATGTGTAAATTGTTCAAAGAGACTATCATCTCTTAAAAATTGAGGGAGGCTTTCCCGTTATTAGCCAATAAATGGGCATCGTTGTTCTCTGGCAACCAGGACGTATAAAAGCCAAAAGGCAGAGAGGAAAACCTCAAGAATGTTTGTTTGGATCAAAATATAAGAACTACTGTTAGGTTTTATCTCCTAATCCAACCGATAGCACGATGTGGTTAATAAACAAGATCCTAAGAAGATGATACCAGATTCAAGGAACTGTGTCATTCCGAAAAGCTTCTCAGTCAGATGGACCAATCATTTTCTCAGGTACCACAAGCGTATCAAATTCTTCACTTGTGAGTACTCCAAGCTTCAATGCAGCCTCCTGCAGAAATGGGTATCAGTTAGATTAACATTGCAGTCATCCAGAAGATCAAGATAAGCATAAATAAGGAGAAAATTTTTAGATTTAATTATAAAAAGAATAATTTTCAGTTTCTAAAACCATTTTATCCAATAAATGCTAAGGGATTCAAAAACTAAACTGCATCATTGAACAATAAATAGAAGGAAACACACCTTCAGGGTGGTTCCCTCCTTATGAGCCTTCTTGGCAACTGCAGCAGCATTGTCATAACCAATTTTCTGGAATCCAAGAGGTAATGAGAATCTTATTTAAAATGCAAACTCTAGTAAAATTTTGGCAAAAGCACAGGATTGGTAACTTACAGGATTCAAGGATGTGACAAGCATCAGTGACTGCAAAATCATTCAGGATGTCAAAAGACAACAACATTAGATCAGTTAGCTTTGAGATTTATGTAAAATTAATTAGACATTTTTGCATGCAGTATCCATCAACTGACCTCATGCAGCAATTTTGAAATTCTTTCTTTATTGGCTTGTATGCCTCTCACACAGTTCTTTTCAAAGGAAGCAGATGCATCTCCTAGCAATCTCAGTGACTAATATCAAAGAGTCAAATTATCAGTTAAGAAAAAAGTGCATACAGTCAACAATGTAGCAGATATGTGTTGCAGTGTGTGTGTCTGTGTCTAATTCAGCAACTCTAATAAAGTGTTGAATTATAGAAAGTTAAAATGTAAAAACTTCCCATAAATATCAGACTGATCAGTATTAGAACATACATGCAGAAGAGCATTAGCAATCATTGGCTTGAATACATTCAGTTCAAAGTGCCCATTTGATCCACCCACTGTGACGGCCACATGGTTTCCCATTACCTGAAAAAAGGTGGAAAAAATGAACCATGTTGTGATGAAAGGTTCTCAAGTGATAATAGGTGGATAGCTACAAAATTCAGGAATAGGAAACAAATATTATAATTTTATTCTCAAAAAATATAGAAACTGCAAGCAAAGGGTTTGCAGTATCTCATCCGATATCACCATCTTGAATGGTAGACAGAATAGAGGATAAAAAAATTACCTGAGCACAGACCATTGTGAGAGCCTCACACTGGGTGGGATTCACTTTCCCCTGAAACCAGATAAGCTCAGTTAAAATATTAAAATTATATGGGAAGACAAACCCTCAGAGCGTAAAAATACATGTCTGCAAGAAAGAGAAAGAGGGAGAGAGAGTTTACGGGCATGATGCTGCTGCCTGGCTCATTTTCAGGAAGAATTAGTTCACCAAGTCCACATCGAGGACCACTGAGAAGGATAACAAATGAAGTCAAAAAAATATCATTGGAGAACCATAAAGGAAAAAAAGTGGCTATCCAAGAAGTAAGTATACCTTCCCAATAAGCGAATGTCATTGGCAATCTTCATCAGAGAAGTAGCAACAGTATTAACGGCTCCACTAGTTTCAACAAAAGCATCATGCGCAGCCTGGAAAAGATAAAATATTCAAGAATCTGCAGTGATTTTGCCCTACTAGCTATGGGACACAAAGCAATAATCCATTCTGGCAACCTAGAGAAAGCAAGAAAGAGAATACAAGCCCAATTAGGGAACTTAGTGATTTACCAATGCTTCAAATTTGTTTTCAGCAGTGACAAATGGCAAGCTAGTTTCCTCAGCTACAGCAGCAGCTATCTTTACATCAAACCTAGATAAAAGACAACAATAAGTACTGTCAAAAAAGTAGCCAAAAAAAAAAAAAAAAAAACAAAGAAACATAGAAATTACTATTAATAATAGTTAGGGAAATGGTAAAGAACACTTCACAATCTGAAAAGGCAGCATAAATGTCAGATCTATGGGCTTGTCTAAGCTCCAGACACATTTTCTTTTCAAGGCCAGAATTCAAAAAAGTGACAATTAATTTCAATTTCTGAGAAGTAGGCAAGAGATAATATTGTTTTATAATATCCATGGGCATGAAATAACATACATATGTTTTATGTATGACTCTCCTCAAATATAAAATAGTATAGGATAACATGAAACATGATAATGGAAAGGAAGCATGATATGTAAAAAGACTTGGATAGTTATAAAGAGCCAATCAAAGGGAGGACAAGAAGTGAAGGAATTTCTTACATGGACAAAACAAAAAACAGATACTGCAATGATACATCAAGTTGAATCAACACAGACAAAACCAAAGAAGTAAATGCTTCAAAACCATAGTCATACACACCCTTTCTTTGTATTTAGTCCAGTTCCAACAGCAGTGCCACCTTGTGCTAGCTGCTCAAATGACATCCCTAATCTATTAGAAGCCTCATGAAGGGGAGGGAAGGAAAGGTTAAAAAGGAATAATTTGCATTGAAAATATGATACCAACCTGATACATACGAGGAAGAGTGCACAAGACCCGATCAATCCCATACTTAACCTGAAAATAAAGCAGAAAAAGTTAGAAATCATCTCACATGATCTCTAATTTGCCTGTTGCTTGCTTCAGAACCAGAGACCTAGTAACGTAAGAATAAAGAAAAGTATCACAGAAATGTAAGCTTACCTGTGTAGTATAGCCACTAAACTCTTGTCCCAAAGTCAAAGGTGTAGCATCTTGGGTGTGAGTGCGTCCAATTTTAACAATGTCTTTGAACTCAACTGACTAGTGGAAACAACACAATCAAAATTTCATCTTTAATGCAACTTCTCACAAATTTATAACATAAGGTAAGAATTAAAAGTATGAACCAAAAACAGGCATAGAAAATCACAACGAAATTCATGCATGCTTTGTCATGACCAAATAGGTAATTATAATGCTTGACAAGCTGACTTAGCAGAAGGGCAGGAGGCAAAGGATGAAAGAGAAAATGAATTAAATTAATGAAAGCATTCTAAATGCCAGCATTCAACTGTGACTGGCAGGAGTCTCAAGATGTAAAAGAAAAATAAGAGAATGCAGATCAGAGAATCTATTGTTTTGCAGACTCAAAGTAGATCATAATGTAGTGAATGTACAAGATAAGATAATAATAATACAAGGTTAAAGCTGCAATGTCTGAATGGTGTCAGCTAAGCATCCAGATCAGCCGGGACATGGAAGCTGATCATATCCTGGTAGTTCAAATGGTTTTGGATATTTCATCAAAATAGATGACATATTGCATTCATTTCCAAATAGTAAAAAAGGCAATACACCTATCATGTCATACACAAGGATAACAAAAAGAAGCATCAAACCTTTGAATGCAGTGAAGTATGCAAAGTTTTCAGGTTTGGAATTAATCTTGAGTTTATTTCTGTCGCAGCTGCAATGTGCATTACCTGGACAAAGACAACAGAAAAATCATGAAACTGTTAAATAGACAGTGAAAGCAAGAAACCAATCGTGTCAACAATGACAACATTAAAAGACTTACAGAGATGGTTTGACCATAGAAATTATAATTCAGGAGAAGGAAATAAAGAACTAATTAATATCTAAGTCACACTTACAGTTGGGAATGTATCATTAGAAGATTGAGATCTGTTCACGTGGTCATTTGGGTGCACAAATTTCCCACCACGCTTATGGCCAAGGATCTCAGCAGCCCTATTAGCAATGACCTGAAAAAGTCCATAAATGAAAACAAAACTAAAATTTAAAATCACTATGACATCAAGACGACTGGTTAGAATTTCATGCTACTGATAATCTATCAATCAAGTAGAAGCAAAACTCGAGGGAAGATTGGAAGGACAATGATTCATGGACCAAATGCAGTACAACCCTTCACCATCAAAACAAGAACTAATCTTTATATCTAACAATGCAACACATCACACAAATTGAGTTCTTGTTAACTAAATCCCATGGAGTCCTCAAAGCATGACAAGCTAAAGCAAAATATAAAATGAATAGCCCTGAAGTACACAAAAACTGCACTGACCTCATTGGCATTCATGTTACTCTGAGTGCCACTTCCAGTTTGCCAGACCACAAGGGGAAAGTGATCACTTAGCTTCCCCTCAGCAACTTCTTGTGCTGCTTGCATTATGGCCTTTCCAATGGATGGATCAAGACCATATTCCATGTTCACCTGCCAAAGAAGTACATTAAGGCACAAGAATTTACAATTCTAGTATTAACAGTTTCGGAGTTTAATTA